TGACTTCCCTGTTTTCTGGCATCCCTGACCCCTGGCTTTTCCTTATTGTTGTGTCTCTTTCTGCGTCCCTTGACCTTTGGCTATTCCTGACTATTCTTTGGTACGTTAGTCCGGCCATTCTAAGGTCCGGTATACGTTACCTATCAGTCCTCTGTGTTACACAATTCTACCTGCTGGATCATACTGTAATCCTGACACCTTGAAGACTTGCCATAACTGGGCTCCCTCATAAACAGCTTGATGAATAAAAAGACATCCAATAATCTATAAACAAAACAAACAAGACTATAAATAACACACCTTACCAAATGATTAAAAAAAAGACTTATCAGGACAAGCAAGGGCAGGGAAACAGCAAAATCAAGGGCCAGAGAACCTAGACGAACCAATGCTGAAACTACCTAGTTTAAAGCTCCCCCTATCTCAGCTTAATGACATTTCCAGAAGGGTGTGGATCAGGCGTGGATCAGAGTAAATTATACATGCTCAGTTTCCAACCCTTGCTCACATCCCACAGGAGGACCAAGATGATGTCCAAATGCTGAAAAACAGCAAAAAATGGAGACTAAAAAAGAAATACAGTGAGAAAACACCCCTCTAGTCACTGGAGCTCAGTCTAGCCCTGGTCCCATATCACCTAGAAAACTGCCAGGAGGGGGCAGCTGTTATCTCAGCAATTACTGCAGCACTCCTAAGATCTAGGCAGGTCGCTACCCCAGAATACTGCTATCATAAGGATCTTCTTAGTAATCACTAAAGTGTGTCCCTCAGGGGGTCACCATTATAGGTTATATGAGCTTCCAGTGATGAGTGGTTAAACTCCCCTGGGTAATAGGAGGTAATAAACCCATTTGAGTCACTAAAACAAACATTCTAGAATAGATTGCCTTTCCCTTTTTTGTGAGTATAGAAGAAAAACCTGGTTCATTGGAAAGGGTTGAGGGCTAACCCGGCTCCTATAGTAATTAACATAATTAATCTTATTGATAATTTACATTTTAGCTGCTTAGGAGATTTTGTCTGTTAAAGTGATCCAGTTATGATAAATTCACTATAAATTTCAGAAGCCTCCAGGTTTTTTGTTTTGTTTTGGGGTTTTTTTGGGGGGGGGGGGATTTTTGTTTTAGTGCCACCAGGATTATAATGTTCTTGTGTATGAAATGTCCACATACTTCAGCATTGGGAAGATCAAGGCAGCCAGTTAGAAATATTGTGGAGCTGGTCTGCATTGCAGCAAATGGTTCAGCATGTCTCTGCATAGGAAGTAAGATGTTTCTTGATCACCTGGAAGATAAATGAGAGATATTACATTAGTAGCTGCACTAGGGAGGACTTTGTGTTGCTGGACAATGATGAAATCATTCCCATAGAAAGATATGTTTCTACTTTACAGGCTATTTCTTTACTTGGCAGTGTTCCCCCAGCCATACAGACCATAATAAAATAAGGCGGCTGGAAAGTAATTACTTCTCAGAAATTGGTGTCATTGAGAATGGAGAGAGGTTATTGGATAATAACTGAATTTGCTCTGTCCCTGCAGACTCGTGATCTGTCATCGCAAACAAAAAGAAATTAGAAAAAAATAGAAATGGCAGATGACATATTAAAGGCACAGTCCTGAAGTAGAAAAAAACACTTTAAGAATAGAAGGTAGGTCAGCTTTATTGAAAACAATATAGTTTGTTAATGTGTTTGAGACCAAAAAGTAACAGCCTTACACAACTTGTTTTGGAGAATCTGCATGTGAGATTTCAGTGGGTGAAACTGGTTTGGATGTAGATTATTGACGATTAGCCAAGTATGTGGTCAAATATCTAGTCATGCAGTAGCTTTAGTAGTGTTGACTACCAGCAGGGAAGGGCTGGAAACTTTTGGCCTAGGGGCAAATACATATCAATTGTCTTGTTTATGAGCATGAAACTCATTGTATGGCTGCATGCCGTATATAGATTTGACATTGGAGGCTTAAATACTGCAGTCCACTGGGAAATACGACATTTGGCCGATCCAGTACTGTAGAACATTGAGGGCACAGGCCACCAGTCAATGCACAAACTCACAGAGTGCTGAGCTAATAAAGGTCCATCTCTTGCCTACTGCGAACTGTGCAAACATACAAAGTAACACACCTTTTTTCTTTTCAGAAGAATGGTCTGAGACTGCAACCCAATATCACTCTGCCAACTCTGTTAGCAGCCTGGAAGACAGTTCCCTCAGTGAACTTCTTGCCATCCCAGGCATGACCCCTAGCTTAATTTGTGACCCGTCACAATGGAAAGCTTAAATTTATATTAAGCTTTTATAAAGCTATTTTGCCAAGAAGATAATGATTACATGATTACATTTTAGTTTCTTTAAGTCATTTCGAGAACTTTTGTAAAACAGAGAACTTAAATAAAACTTGGAGGAGAAATCAGTGGTACAGTTTTATGTATTTTGGCTTTAATTATTCATAATAATGAAAGTATCCTGTTGTTCGTTGTTTATTTTCCAGAAGTCTAAATAACAACATATACTGGCCTCAAGGAAAGAGAACATTTGATTGTTTCATAGCCAAGGTAGCAAACAGCACGATACCAACATCGCAAGGCTTACTTCATAGTTTCCCTAAAATATTTCCTACCAACTGAAGAAGGCGTATATGACGAGAACATCAAAGGGGAAACAGTCTTCTGGTTGATTGGATGATACAAATCGCTATATCCAAACATAAATGTGTGTCTTTGCTTTGTTTTTTTGTTAATAAAGAAACAAACATAAATAGTACATATAACCAAAAACAAGTACATACTATTTAGTATACCACATTCTGGCAACATGTATTAGCTGGATAATACACTTATTATTTTTTTATTACTATGAAGTGTGGAATCCATTATTACTATGTTTTATAATGCAAATAAAATATTTATATAAAACGAAAAAAAATCAGTTTTCTATCATGAATATCCAAATGTAATAAAGCCTTTGACAAGGTACCATTCAAATCTATATAAAGAATCTCAAACATTTCTTGGCAAAATATATTTTAATAGAGATTTTAGCTTCAAGCATTCTGATCATATATATCATGGTACAAGGTACATTAGTGTGACAATGACATCAATTTTTATACATATGTTGTAAACTGTGATGAAGTTCCAGTACTCCGAGTATCTCTGCCCCGTCCGCTTCCTAGCCACTTGCCGGGACCTTGGATCGCTTCAGCCCAAGTCCCTGAAGCTTGACTGGGATATCTCTGGATCTATTTCCTTTCAAGCAGGTATCATTCCTTCTGCCTATTCCTCTGCAACTTTCCTTCCAGGCAGGTATGCACCTGCAACGTGATAGCTCTTGTCTTTATAAAGACACTAGTGCCTCTCTTGTCTAGATCTCTTTTTGATTTGCCCCTGGGCTAGAGAGATCATGCAGCCAGCCAACACGTCCAAAGACTGTTACTGGGACCCCTAATAACCCACAAAGGACAAACAGTTCCAAACAGAGCTAACATACCATTCTTTATGTTTGGACAAAAACTGGCCTTTGGGGACTAGTCCTTAAGCATGTGGTAATAAACATTTAAAATAGAAATATATAAAACATTAGCAAACAAACAACTGAAATTAATACATCAACTATATAACACAAATAACATTTTCAAACAGAATTAAAAGCAACAATAAATGTATTTAACAACGTATTTGGTTGCTTTCATTTGCATACCAGCATTATGCATATTAACAAACGTCTATTCAGCCAGCAGAGGGCACTTCAGAGTTCTAAAGTAACAATGTATAGTTTTTACATTGATTGCTGATGTCACACACCTCTGTCAGGGACTTCAGGCCCATAGTCTATGGGTAAGGAAGGGGCTGGCCTTCAAGCCTCTCCAAAAGGCCATGACATGGGAGCTTCTCTCACAGAAATAGTTTGTGCAATTTCATAAGAGCCATATACTCCTAGTAAATTATTTTATGCTAAGCTTCAAAAACGCTATACAAGTTATGTATGATGTTTCAAATCTATGATCATAAAGTGTCATTACACATAATTTTCTTAAACCATTCTGCATTCTAATACAGACAATATTATTCTGTGATGTATTAATGTTTATATAGCTATTATACAGAAAATAGCTTCTCTGTTTTGCTTTACTTGCAGGTTGCACAAAAACTTTGATTGGTTAGTTATACGATTTTTCTTAAATTAAATAAAACGGTATCTTAAAGGGACACTGTAGTCACTAGAACAGCTACAG